CCTACGTTTGTTTACGCTATAAATATTAATGTATATTTTCTCGGTCAGTTACATATCATCCGCATCCTTTTAACAGTCGGTTTAGCCCATTTCAATTAGTTTCGCGTGGACGTGCCATGTCCGCTACGAAAATCCACATAAGCATGTATCCCACTGAGGCTTTATTCCAATAAAAAACGCTTAACACTCACTAAACGCATGGTTGATGTCCTTGCGGGGTGTATATAGAAAAGCGGCCTCTTTCTTTAATTCCCCGTAGCTGTCAAAGAAAACATTATTTTTTTGTTGTTGTTGTTTAAGAAACATTGCTTTTTTTAAGGCGATTTAAAATGCCGCCCCCAGTGTATGTTAGCGAAGCTGTATAACACCGTTTCGAAATATCGTTGAATTGAAATGGATCAAGAGAGATTGTGCGCTTGCGAACTCTTTTGAAGTGGCTATTATTTTGATTCTGAAACTTACGGATGAATCTGAACAGAACTCATGAATTTATTCAGTGTGATTATTAAAAGTCGGGTTTATATTTCAGTAAAAAAGATAAATCGCATTTTAAGATGTCGGCAGGTGCACAGTACAAATAACAGCTCATCCATTCACAAACCCCAATAAGCCATTGAGTTGCCCGGGGGGGGGTTAACCCTTATATATATCGGATACAGTGGTTGTGGTTACGTTCGGGTAGGATTTTTGCGCCGTTTTGGTCTGAAAACGGGTATACACTTTGCCCATTTAGGTGTTGAATCGCGTACGGTTTTCGAAGGATCTACGGGATTGTGTGAACGTATTTATCGTTTCAATTGCAAATGAGTAAGAAAGAAAGAGAAATATGCTAATTCAAAATGGATTTGAAGAATTGCGTTTTTCTTTTTTTTTTTTTTTTTGTGCGCTCTAATTTAAGTAATGATAACATCATTCCTGCCTACAGGCCAGGTCTGAAAACGGGTATGGATTTTAGAGGTCTGGTCCGAAAAGGGGTGTGGAAAAATCCATTTTTTGGTCTGAAGTAGGGTTAGGATTTAAAGAACGGGGCAACACACCCCCACCAAGAATTCCCAGGAGTACCCCCCGGAGTTTCAGCTAGTTCACACTTATATTTGTATTTCACTTCAAATTAGCAAAACGTTTTATCATAAATTGTTTAGTCCCTTACCTTATTAACGCAATCGCAGAGGCCCTAATGTAAAGTGCGTGGTACTAATCCGGCCTACAAAAGGGAGCTCATTCGAAACTTTGAGCTGCAAATTAGAAAAATACCGTGCGAGAAGCCAGCAAGAATGCGCAAATACATGTTTGCCTGGTTCAAGGTTCAAGTCGGAATAATCCTACTTCAAGGTGAGACAACGCAACGATGTTCTTTAAATCTTATATCTCGTCGTGCCAATAATGATTGCTTTTAGATCAAGTGCTGTGTAAAAAGAGCCCGGTGAGTGAAATACGATACAGATAAAAAGCTTTCGAGTCGATTGGGAAAAGCGTGCGATCTTATGTTATATATCGCTTCCTTAAACCCATACACTTCGCTCTAGAAATTTTTAAAAAGTTTACGTTTTCAATTTACCCAGTATGGGACTCCAATTTATAAAAGGTTGTATGAAGAGGAGATTTAGATTTTAAACTGTAGTTTAGAAAGTTTAATTAATCTGAACAATTCGTCATTCGCCTGGGTTTGATTTAAAAACGAACTTATCAGTTCTATTTCCCATCTAAGAAACTCGCCAATCTTTGACTTTTCTTATTTCAAAAGCGATGGATATTAATGTTGTGATTCTTAACTTTCTTTCTGATTGAATAGTTTTAATTGGCTTTGTAAATAGCACTTTGCATTCGAAAGACAAGTTTAGTTTTTGCGCGCACAGATGTATCTATGAGTTGAGATGAGCCTAGAGGTAGGTTGACGTGAGTAGTTAAACAAACTGTCATTAGATATCCAACATTTTCCACAATGTGATATCGCGGGATATCGCGGGACTACTGGCGGAAAAATTGTTAGAAACACACATACGCACTCACGAATAAATAAATAAAATAAATAAATAAATAAATGAATAAAATGATATAAAAATACAGAAGGGGGAGGTATATGGTTGTGATACAGCTATGTAGGCGTTACAGTTATGTGGGCGGCTGAATGAAAGCTATGAGGGCTGAATGGAAGTTATGAGCCCTTTCTCCAAACCTTTTTTAATCACGTATGCTGGCGACTTTGGTCGTTAGAGAAGGCGTTCTGGTTCTTCCTCAGGGAGAAAAGTCATTATCGATGGCATCTAAGATAAGCACTACTACAACAAAAAAAAACCCTAGAAAGAGGGATCGTGATCAAACATTCCTTTTTTGGCTTTAAGATTGGGTATTCGAACTCAAAACTACGGCATTTCAGAATCATGATGACCAGAGAAGTTTCAGTCCGTCGAAGCAGTCGCGAACTCTCCAAACAGCTGGAAATTTCGATTAAAAAAAAAGATCACGTCAGAAACCTATTTTCTCAACTTCCGAAATAATGTGAATGTAAATTGAGTGTCACGTTCAACATTGAGTGAAACCGAAAGTGCGTATGACGGTAATAAAGAAATTACTTGAGGTGGCTACGAAGTAATTTTTGGTATTTTATAGCAAATTAATTGCTCCTATTGCATTTCTAAGTTGGAAATTTGAGAGGAAAGATTTATTCGAATACAAATTCGACTGGTCATTACGTGTTTTGGGTTACTTTCTCCCATTCAATTATCTGTTTTTTGTTTTTGTTGGTTTTTTTTTGTCTTTCGAAAGAGAAAATAGGCATGCCGTATGAATATTCGAGTTTCAGTTTTTGTTATATCAGTAAGCAGATCGAATTATGCAAACTCCAAAACAAATCGCTGTGGCTCAAAAAAAGGCATTTCAAAGTGGCTATGAGCCCTGAAACGCGAGTCAGCGCACAAATCAACGCGAGAAAATGCTAGCTGAAGGTAAACATAAAAAGGATATTTCAATTTTGCTCATTTTCGTAGTAAAGAATATTTCTTATACAGTGGGCTATAATTGTTGCCATATATATTAACGAGCTAAGTAGCGTAAGGCTCTCGTAGTGACCTTGAGCGGCTATCTGTATAACTGGATGATAAACTGACCTGAGAAAGAAATAATATATTCTGATTTTAGAGGGTTGGTGGACGTCTATGCATTTCCCATTTGTTTTTGCCCTTGCTTATTCGACAATGTTATGTCAAGTCAGTTTTGACTGTAAAGTCGACAAATTTGCGGGTAGAAATCTTAATCATTTCTGTTGTTCGGCATGGAATACTGATTTGTAACAATAGAAATGACCATTTTATCAACAATTTTAGGTGCACGAGTCCACAGATACATCCGCTTAACAAATAAAGAGGACAAATTGGCGGATTTCGATTACCGTTACGCTAAATAGGGGGCACCCCTTAAGACAGGTTTGACTATACCATAGGAAATCCCAATCCAGTAATTGCCAAATATCACAACCTATTTAGGTTACAATGCAGAGAAAGAAGCTCTCGCTATTCGCCTTTTTGATGATTGCTGTACTGTGAGACCGGTTCAACTTTATTTCGAGCTTAGACTTTGACACTATCTTGGGAGCAGTGTTTCTTTATCAGTGGCTATTGCGTTTTGTTTTCAAGGAAAATGGGTTCAAATTTATTCCAAAACCAATCGCTATCCCACAGTGCAATGCGACACAAAACTGACCCAGTCTCAAGCTCAACCAGAAAATGATGAATTTCTCAAGTAGATTAGAGCCTGGGTTCTAAGCCATTAGTTATTTTTATGTACGCTTTCCAGAGAAAGCCATTTTTAAAGACATCCGAAAGGAATTATAGTTGGTAAAGTAGACTACACCTAAAAAAAAAATAATAACATTTCATCGACCACGCCCTCTTTTTTTCGAAAATTATATCGACCGATGCCCACCACTTGCTACGCGTGTAGCGACAGTTCCTTTGTATCAAAATATTGACCCTACAAAGACAACTGTCTACGAAATAGGCTCGGAACGGTCTGAAACGTTACAATAGGTGCAATTAGTGTTTATTGACTAGTGCCAGTCTTCCTCTTACTAAACTTTTCGTCAGGAGAAAGACGTTTAATGACCTCGTCTCATTTCAATTTTTTTTTTCTTTTCACAAGAAGACTATTAGTAGCCACTGTTTGGACCTACGAAAGGAAAACTGTTTACTCTCTATATAGTGGGCATCTCGGCCCAAAGGATTTCTCCGTAAAACAGGGCGTAGCTGGTCACGGAAATCCCCTCCCTTAAAATTCTGAGAAACCTGTAAAGAACTAGGCCTTAATCTACTTGAGTTTCCATATGTAAGTGCCATCTTTATCTTTAAAGGGAAAGTGCAATCAGCAGTGCTTACAGTATCAAAATTTCTATTTCACTTTAATTTATTTCATAACAACTTTATTTGTATGAAAATAGATGAGTGCAGAAAGGTGACAACAGAGACAAACTGAATCATCGTAAATAAAAGGTTTTCTCTTTCCTATACAACTGATACATGGATGGCGGGGCTCTTATAATTAATTAATCTCCGCACATGCAAAGAGGGCTAATAAACATCAGTGATGTGTTGTTTAGCATATCATTTTGCCTGGCTGTCCATTATTATTCTCAGTATTTGTTATTATCTTTTTTATTCAAATTATTTATTTAATTTCTTCCTTTAACTATTTTTTATTTAATTTTTTTTTTACGATGGAAAGGTGATTTAAGGACCAAAAGTTAAAATGTCGGACTAGATCCTTTTTGTTGAGGAATATATACTCCATTTGATATCATATCTTTTTTTGTTGCAGGATTTACTCCAACAAGCGCTTTGTCAGCAAAGATACAGGCTGTTCCACTGAATACAAGTTACAATCCAGGAGAAAATGTGACCCTGGTCTGTCTAATACAATGCAATTGCTCCGCTGACGTCATCAACTGGTATAAAGATAACAATCCAATCAGAATTCAAAATGACGTCAATTCACTGGAGAGCGATGAAATGCCGCTTTTAAACATAAGCAGACATGACGCTGGAAAATACAATTGTACGGCTTGGAAAAAACAAGAATTTGCTAGTGACGAGTTCAATCTTCGTGTAAACAGTAAGTCGACAGGCAACTAATTTAGTTAGTAGACGGAATGATGTCACTGAGGATAATCAGGAAGAGCGCATTATCTCCCAGAGTAGTCAATCGTTAAAAATTGTTATCGATTTATCAATCGATAAATCGATGAAAATCGGCAAATCTGATTTGATTGACATCGATTGTATCGATCAATCGGTAGAAGTCGATGACACACTCGTTTTGTTCATCGATTATCTCAATGCGATTTTTACCGATTTAATCGATTTATATCGGAAGATTTTCTGTTCTTTAATAAATGAAAACTGAATTAATGCAAACAGTAAATGTGTTGACAACTGAGCTGCAATTGGGAGTCGAAGGATCAAGCGATTATCATTTTTTCAAAAAAATCTTTAAAATATGTTTTTTTTTTCTTTAAGACCAGGTTTAAAGTCTTCTGGTGGCTTATATTGGTCAGGTTTGTAAGCGCCCAATTTGTCATAATTAAAGATCTGCCACCCTTTCAAAAACAACGTCAGTGAATTTCCAGTTGTGATTACATACTGGAGTAATCAACAGACAAAAATCGAAATCGCTAAAAAATCGTCCGCAATCAAGTGATTTTTATCGATTGTTAACAGAAAACAATGAAAATCTTTCAAGGGAGATCTTTTAACCTGAATTTCAGAAATTCCTCCAAATCGTACCCTATCTATTATCTCTATTCAAATCGAAGGGATGTCTGAAATTTAGGCTAGGAACTCTTTATCTCAAAGGTTGTATTTCTCGTGATACCTTCTTGCCAGGACTGAATGTAGTTAAACTAAACCTAAACTTGTTATTATGAACAAAATAATGGGTTTTAGAAAGAAGCTTGCATGCGCGTGTAATAGTTTCCACATTTCTCACTTTCATGTTTGTCGAACATTTGTTACTCATGGCTGTGTTTTCTCAGCTGTACTTTCTAGTAACTTATGCCAAAACTGACAACAACAATGGCGGACTTCCGTAATAAATCGTTAAAATCATTAAAAAATCGATAATATCGATTTGACACAGCAATTTAGTTTATCGATTTTCATCGATTTCCGGTAACAATCAATAAAAATCACATGATTGCTACCGATTTTTATCGATAACTATTTTCATCGATTGACAAGGCCAGGATTTTATACAGTAGACACTCGCTGTAAAGACTTAGTGGATTAAGGACCTCCTGGCAGAAATTTGTCTCCTTAATACCTCAAAAAACAAGAACCTGTTTAGCCAAGCAAGTTGTTTACTTGTAACAAGTAAATTACTTGTATAAAATGTATACAGAACAAACTGAATTTTATTCATTTCTTTTCGTTTCTTTTGTTTTTGTTTCTTTTTTGTTTTTATTTCTGCAATAAAAGGTGCACCTCGTATAGTAAGTTTACCTGAAGAGGTTATAGTTCTGGAGGGTGAAGAACAGCTGATAACTTGCCAGGCGGATGGCTGGCCTCGACCAAACATGGCATGGAAACATAAAGACTCCTACCTCGGAAATGATACACGATATGAAATCAGGAGAAATTTGACATTGAATCAAGTAACTCTGGTGATTAAATTCGACGACGACCTTGATGAAGCCTTTTACACTTGTGAAGCAAGTAACGCTTTTGGGATATCGAGTAGCACTGTTATGGTTACGTTCGACGACGGCTTTGGTAAGTGACACGGCAAAAAATCACAGCCGATGTGTGTGTGTGTTTTTGGCAATTTTACCTTCCGTGATGTTTTCTAACAAGGGAAATTTTAAAAAAAGCTAGGACAAGAGAACCTGACTCTACTTGTCTTGAAATACTGCTGAAGGAAAGTCAAAATATTCCACTTATTCTTATTATCATTACTATTATCACTATTTAAAATTGAAGGCAAGACTGATCGGACGGCTAAGGTTTACAAATTTATTTGCCTATTAATATTTCGACTTGGCAAAACTTCTTCGTCTTCATCAGGGTATGGAAAAGCTGATGAAGACTAGTTTTGTCTAGTCGAAATTTTGGGCGAATAAATTTGTAAACCTTAGCCGTCCGATCAGCCTTACCTTCAATTTTAAGTGTTATTTTATATTGCTGATCCTGATCTACGACAAGATCTTGCTTTTCCTCGCCGCTGTTTGTCCAAGTGGTCCTTGCAGAAATTGTTCACTATATCATCACTATATCATTATCGTTGTCGTTATCGTTAGTATTATATTGGAGATTCACATAGTGGTTTGAGGTTGTGATTTGGCTTCTTTAAGGTTCTTTAAGCTCTGGGTAATGAAAAGTTCTCTAGCGAAGACAATAAAAACCCAACAGTTTGCTTTATCTCGCTTCTCTATACATTGCCAGTACTTTTCAAAGTATTCTTATTTGGTTCAGGGGGCCCGTTTCTCAAAAGTTTTTTTTTCGGCCCCAGAATCAAATAATATTAAAATCAGATTAAAAAGAATAAGAGCGCAGGTCCTAGCTGACAAATCAGTCCATTTTGTTTTGTTACTACGGACTTCGTTTACCGAATAATCCTCGTTTACGAACATATTTGTTCCGTGCAGCTCCTTCTTAGCTTTGAAGACTGCCTCACGATCCTTGTAATTGAGAAACCGGGCGACAATTTTGCGAGGCTTGGAGTCAGAGCGAGGTCTACCAACACGATGAGCCCTTTCTATGACAAAGTTGGTACCGACTTCAGGCATGTGATTTGAGATTAGGTGTTTGATTTTGCTTTCTGATTCCTGCCAAGTTTCGTTTGGTGACTTAAGAATTCCCTCAAAGCACAAATTATTTCGCCTTGATCGATTTTCGAGGTCATCTAGCTTGTTTCCTAGGTCCTCGATTTGTACTTTGACTTCCTTTACTCTGAGGTCAAAGGTTATTAGCTCCTGGACTTGAGCTTGTGTGAACTCTAAACTCGATTTAACACTTTGCACATCTTTCATCAAGTTGTCAATTCTAGTGTTGACAGAGTCCATGTAGGTACTAAGAAACACTTTTAAAGTTGACTCTTGCTGCTTAAGCAACTCTTTCACTAGTTTAAGGGGCATTTGGACATCGTCTTCCCCAAAATTTCCACGTTTTGAATCAGAGGACGTCTTTGAGCGTGTTGCCGCCATGATTATGCAAATCTATTGAAAGCTTTGTCTTAAATGTAAACAGTAGTAGCTTTTCAAACCCGTTAATTAAAAGTTCTTTCTAGAAATGGGCCACAGGTCCATAGAAAAGCTTATTTTAATGGGCTTCTTTGTTCGTTTGTTTGTTGTTGTTGTTGTTGTTGTTGTTGTTGATGATGATGACTTTTTAAGACTCTAATGATAATAATGATAATAATAATAATAATAATAATAACTTTATCTGTAAAGCGCTTAATCAATAATTACTGTAAGCACTTAACAGTGTTCGATAAAAATATAACAAGATTTAAGGTCCTAGAGATACATATATACAATCAGTAACTATTCTTTGCAAGAGTTCGAAGTGCGCAGCAATCAAACTTCGGTCATTACGATTAAACCTACTCATATTAAATACTCTGAATCAAGAGAGGATAAAGGGGAAAGAGAAGGCATCCCCTATACACACCCTATTCCACAGGTAATTCGTCTCGAGTTATTTTTAGAATCGGGATAAAGTTCCTTTGCGCGGTGCGTAGATGTTTCGCGGAGGTTTCGCATGACTAAACGCCGTGCAAAACATGTCGGGCGAAAGGCAATGAAAGCGTAAAGAGATCGAGAGCATTTCTGAATATTGAATCGAAATGAGTCGGCACTCATCTAGGAAAAGGGAATCGCTGCACTCTTTGACAACCCGTGAAATCAGTTTAACTCGAAGTTGTCATAACCTCAGTGCTTTAATAAAATGAGAAATTTCGCTGGTCTATTGAAACCGGTCGTTTGTACAATAAAGCAAGTAGGAGGTCAAGTGTTATTTTTGTTGAATAATAAAAGACTAATAAAAGAATAAATATCAAACCAGAAATTGCTCTCTTCAAACTGATTTCCCTGCTGTACTGTTAGCTCTATACAGAAGAGGAAGGGCGATTCTTTTTTAATTTCCGTTTTCGCTGACACAGCTTTAGCAGAAATCTCTCTTTAGTCCTTTTCGTCGACAAAACAAATAGCAATTTCGCTCTCCGCGTCTTCTCCCATTTTTTCTGCGCCAATTCGTGAAGGACGCGTGGCTCTGAGCGTGGCTCATCCACGCGGAACACATTCGCGCTATGTGATTGGCTGTTGTCTAATCCCTCTTGGGGTCTATGGTCTTAAAAATAACTCGAGACGAATTACCTTACCTATGGAATAGGGTATGTATGGGGGATGCCTTGTCTGTCCCCTTTATCCTCTCTTGTCTGAATGTAATACTTTAAACGTACTAATAATCATAAATACTTTAAAATGTGTAAATAATCAAACAAAATATAACTAATCTGATTTGGAGGCTTGTTTAAATAAGTGCGTCTTCAGAGCCCCCTTAACTGGCATTTACGTTTGCACAGAGTCTGCTATGTCTGACATCCATAACATAAGCTTTCCCTTATCGATTTTTCAGAGCCCGAAGAGCTGTCCGGCGAAATGCTAGTCAGGTCTCCCAGCGAAATGCTAGCCGAGTCTCCTCACGTCATTGCCAACAAAGGTAGCAACGTCACCCTGACTTGCAAAGCCATTAACATCAATGATCCTTATAGTGCAACGATCTGGTGGACATTCAATGGCAAGCTATTAAACAGCCATAAGTCACGGTTTACAAAGGAATCCATTACCAACTGGACACTGATGCTGGACATTTACAACGTTTCTAAACAAGACGTTGGCCAGTACCGATGCGGCATATCCGAGTGGAGTGGAGCTTCTTACATGAATACCATAACTTTGATCGTGGAAGCAAAGGGTAAGATAAGCCCGGGTGATACTTTGTACAATTTTCTGTTTCGGCGGCTTGAGACCTAGTTCCCGAAAAACCACATTCATGTTAACACACCCACTATACATCAGTTTTCAAACAACAACAACAACAACAACAAAAAAGGACTCTGGATGGTTTCGTTGTGTTTTCCGTGGTACTTAAAAGTTATGACTGGCTACGATTTAGATGCCATTTCTATTTTCTATGTTACGCCTAGTACGTTTGAATTCATAGGTATTTTTGAGAGGTGTATGTTTTTTTTTTCTCTCCGAGCATCTTCAAATCAAATTCCTGTAAATGCTCCTGTGAATTTCTGATTACAATTGCAAAATAAATTAAAGATAAATTTCTGCTAAACAATGAGTGCTTTTTTATGGTAGTCATTTTGAATTTAAAAAAAAAAAAAAAAAAACGACGTCAACTGCTATACCACCAAGTTCCGCTTCCCAACTTTTATTTACGATATCCCTTTCACCAAGAGATAATAATGGGATAGAGAGGAAAACGCCCAGTCTGGCCCATAGAGTATGTGAGTTTCACCAAGGTTATTTTTAGAACAACTAAACGCTTGAATTAATCAAAATTTGCTTCGCGGAGAGGTCCGCAAACTTTAATTCACTGTTGTCAAGACAATTCAACAGTCGCTATTACAACATTCTGCATTTTTACCTTGATGCAGACGCGCGTACTGATTTGATGATGTTTCAAACAATCGATTAAAAATCGCAGACGCCCAAGGAATTTGACTTCCGGTTAAGGTGGCTCGACTGGATTTTTTGGGTAGATACTTGCCAAGTTTGAGCATTAACTTAGTCTGCATGAGTAAAGATATGGGCAGAAGGTTACCACAACTATGTTATATAAAGATAAAATTTCTTATTGTCTGGGTTTTAGTGCAATCGGAGTCGCCATGGCTACGTAACGACGCCATTACGTTTTTTATTTATCTTTGCGTTTCTTTGTGCCAGGAGTTTTTTTTTTTTTTTTAAGAAATCGGCTTAAGGCAGTTTGTACCTGTCATAATTGCCTCAATTATGGCAAAGTATGAACAAATTCTATGAGAGTGTTCTCGAAATATTTTTAAACAAAGTTTTAAGCATCATAACAACTGTGAAATGGCATGCTATCCACACAATTAGCATTTTTTTTTCTTTTTAAAGAAAAAGATCAGCTTTGCAAGCGCGCCTTCATCTCATAGTGGTTTGATTCCATTGTACAAAAAAACAACAACAACAACAACAACAACAAGAGGGGACTTGCTCCGGGCGATCGCGAGTTAGAAGAATTTTATTAACTTGCATTTAGCTGCTTTTGTTACAGTTTTTGCACGTAATTTAGTCCATGGCTACAAAATTCGAGTTTTTTAAAAAAAACCGCTCGATTAATTTTTGAAAAATTTGACAACCCCGAGATCAATCGTCAATAAATATACCCTGCAAGTTTCAAGGATACTGAAAACAGGGAAGGCCTTTTAAATAGGGCCTCAAATATAACCAATTCCTTCCCCAGAGTTTGTGGTTACAAGAGAGCGTCCTCATTATTCACTGGCATTGTTTTCAAGTTTCATATGCACGTGCACATTTAGCAAAAAAAAATAAATTTGCATCACAAAGAACTCTTGATTACTTTCCGAAGAAATATCCGGAGTATGCTAATAACTGGCTCTTGTCACAGATAGCTGTAAGAGCCGAAACGGTGAACGTCAAGCTCATCGTGTAGGATGCACTACTTAATTATCTTACTTGGGTTATAACATCACAGAAACTCTTACAAAGAATTGCTGTCAAGTTATAATATACCACTAATTTCTTTACCCGGTTATTAGCATATTCCGGGGATTTTTTTTGGAAAGTGACCGAGGGTCCTTTTTGATGCAAATTCTATTTTTTACTAGTTGTGCACGTGCATATGAAACTTGAAAACAATGCCAGTGAATAATGAGGACGCTCACTTGTAAGCACAAAATCTGGAGGAAAAATTGGTTATATTTGAGGCTCTATCTAAGAGCCTTTCCTGTTTTCAATGCTTTGAAACTTGCAGAATATATTTATGATGATTGATCTAGGGATTGTCAAGTGTATGAAAAAATTCATCGAGTGTTTTTTTTTTTTTAATTTGTAGACATGGACCAAATTACGTGCAAAAACTGAAACCTAAGAAGCTGAATGCAGGTTAATAAAATTCGTCTGACTCGCAGTTTTTAATGGAATTAAACCGCCATGAGACGAAGCTGCATTTCCAAAGCTTATCGTTTTCTTAAACTATTAGCTAATTGTGTGGATAGCACGCTATTTTACTGTTTTTCTGATTCTTAAAACTTTGTTTCAAAATATTTCGAAAACGCTTTCATAGAATTTGTTCAAGCTTTTCCATAACTTTACTCATGCCGACGTAGGTGATGCTCAAACTTGGGAGGTATCCCCCCTTATAAATCCAGACGAGCCACCTTAATACAACCTCTAAAAATAACTTCAGTGAAATTGACATACCCCGGCCAACTCCCTAAGAGACTCATTACCCTCTCTTATTTTCACTCAAATCGAAATTGGACAACTTTAGATGATCTTCAAAACATTTCTGCGAACTGGAAAACAGTGAAGGCGGCAGCCGGAACAAGCGCCCAGCTCATGTGTCAAGCTTTCCATTCCACCTTTATTGACGCAAACACGTTTTGGCTGTTCCAAGGCGTTATGTTAAACGACGCACTGGACGCACGCTTTAAGATTGGTGAATTCCGTTGGAAAAGCTCCAATTTCTCACAGACAGTTGAGATGAAAATCGAAATCAACAACCTATCAGTCTCAGATTTTGGCAGCTACAGCTGTGCAATTAACACTACCGCTGGTGTTTCATCAGAATTAGTTTTTCTAGAAGTGCAAAACGAGGAAAGAGGTAATGTACTGTATGTCACTTATTTATTTATTTATTCATTCATTTACTTATATTTTATTTATTTATTTATTCATAATTTTTATGTTTTAATGTATTTCTGCCTTACCTTTTCGCCTATTGACAAAAAAAAAAACACAAAAACAAAAACAAACAAAAAAAACACTTCATTAAATCTTTTATGAAATTCTGATCTACTTGACTTTTTAAGTTGAACAAAACATTTAACGAATTTGAGATGTTTCGTGGTGGTTTCATTGGAGGCCACAAAGCAAATTCTTTTTTTTTTTTTTGTTTTTACCGATCCATCATACATTATGATATTTTGTGTGTAAGATTCTTCCTTCATTAATTTATTTATTTGTGTTCTTTTCTGCAGCGGGTGGCAAAGAAAACTCTACAATGTTTATAATTATATTCCCTCTTGCCGCTGGTGGACTACTCCTTGCACTTTCAGGCATGATCATTCTACGAAGAATGCAAAAAAAGCGCCGAGACCTGAAACTTCAAGGTATTTCGACGGACTGTTTTTAGCGCTATTTGTCGATCCAAGTTAGCTATTTTTCTGGTGGAAATGTCAGATTCTTTATCACTTTGAGTGATTGTGACGGAACGTCAGTGATTTAGGGGTATTGCTCAGTGCGTTTGTTGGAGGAATAGAGAGAGTGATAGATAAATAAATAAAACAAATAATAATAATAATAATAATAATAATAATAATAATTGTTTTATTATTCATTTAAAATAAGTCCTAGAATAAAAAAGCGTAGACGGCTTAAGTCCAGCGATGTTAAATTCATCTTCGATAATGAATGTTTATCGGCAACTTTAGGAGATAAAGGGTTGTTCAAGCCTTCAAATATCCTCCAAAAGAATTTGTATCCTTGATATGTTGTTTGCCTTCTTCTTCCTCTTGAAACGAGTACAATGTTCCGCCATTTTGCAGTAACTATGAACACAACTCAACTTCGTCTCCAGGTCTTCTCGGTTAGTGGTTCAATAACCTGGCAATTTGGCTGCGCAATTGCTGTCATTTCTCACATATCGCAAAATATCCTATTTACATTTAATTTCGCTTAAAAAAACTATTCAGTGAAAGCAATATTTACAATTCCTTTTGATTAAGCAATAATAATAATAACAATAATAATAATAACAATAATAATAATAATAACAATAAAATTCTCAACTATATTTATAACTTGTTTTTTAACATTTTTGACGTTGAATGTCTCTTAACATATTGCTTTGTCTTTCAGAGAAAGCAGCAGCGGGAGAGTTCACTTATGACGTGTTTGTGACATTCAGCAGCAAAGACCGGCAGTGGGTATCGACTAAACTCACCCCTCTGTTGGAAAGCCATCGGCTGAAGTATTGTATCCACAGCCGTGATTTCGAATTAGGGAGAGCATTGGTCGATAACATGGCAGAGAGCGTCTATTCCAGCCGCAAAGTCTTGGCAGTTCTGTCCAAAAACTACTTGGACAGTAAGTTCTGCAGGGGTGAGCTTGAGATGGCGTTGTATCGAAGCAACGTTGGCCGGGACGGTTCCTTGTTAGTGGTAACAATCGATGGGATAAAGAAAAATAAGCTGCCCAAAGCCTTGAGAGAGAGCACCTTTGTCGATTACCATTCGGATACTGGGCGTAGTTCATGGGAGAAGAAGCTGTTACGGCTCCTAGTTCAAGAGGATAACAATCAAAATGTTTTCAATACAAAACTATGAGATTTAAAAAGAGGACTTAACGAAGTATTATGTTTAAAATGCAACCCTAAAGTTCCTATAGTGATGTAGCTTTGAGAATTCTAAATTGATGGACTAATAATTAACTTTGATGATTATGATGGATTAAGGAGGTTTAATTAGAGGTTAGAGGTTTGCATTGCCGGAATCAAAACACGATGAAATGAACTTACAGGAATTTTTTTTTTCTTTGCTTTAGTCAATATAGGCCATCAGTTTGTCAGAAATTAACTTAATTTAATTTCATAAGTAGGTTGAGTATAATTTCACGGTTTTGATTTAATTTATTTCACTGGTAATTGCTATTTTTGCAAGTGCTTTTAAAAACTTGTTCGTGACATAATCCTAAACGTGAGGCGCCTTCACGCTCAGTGAGAGAAACTTCAGTGGTAAACTGAGGCTGACGCTGCCCCAGCAAAAGAGTATGGTTAGAAACAAGAAACAACAGAAAAACAAAAAAGAAGAAAATCACAACAACAATAACAAAAACAACAACTTTCACCTTTAACCCTTTCACTGCCAGATGTGGCCAAAGGCAAATTTCGAGCAAATTTCCAAATTCCATTTTCTAAATTTTTGACAAACAAATCACGTGATTTCATCGTGTGAAAGTACAGGCAGAGAGCTTTCATTTGAATGGTCACATCATAGGATTTCATCCACAGACTCAAAAGTTATACTCTATCAAACACTTTGGCAGTGAAAGGGTTAAGTAAAGTACTTAAGCAACCAACGCCACAACGGCAAAGATAACGTTAACGTCTATGCACAGTGGGTTTTATTAGCGGAAAACTAAAACAGAAACAGAAACAATCAAACAACAATAGCAACAAAAACACGTGGGTTACAAAGATTTTTTGGTCATGTTATATTTCTTTAATGTCTACTCTACGCCTCTGACGTGATTCCTTGTGCGACGTTTTATGGAAGACGTGAACACAAAGAAAAGAAGTAAGTGCGACGCTATAAAGTATGAAAAAACGCAGATTAATTCATATTTTCACTATTTCACTATCTTCGTGGTCGTGGTTGCTTTTAACTTCCCTCGTTAAGCAACTTTTCCTAATGAAGAGTGACGCTTTCCTCAAAAACTAAGAACACCTGGCAGATGACTGGCCAGACAAATGACAATATCGAAATCATTGTTAGTCGGACCCCTTTCGAGTTTTGTAACATTTCGTAGCTTCATTACGACAGTGAAACCTCTATACAAAGGCTGCCTTGGCGACAGAAAAAAGAAACCGTTGTAGAGAGGTTGAAGTAAAAGTCAATTTGTGGACTATCCGCCAAAAGAGTGGCCTTTGCGGGGTGGAGGTTCGGAATGTACTTACCAGAAAGTAAAACAGAAGCTAACTAGCCGGTCGTAATGGATAGAGATTTTTGCTCCCCGTTTGCATTGACGCCAGCTTTGATAGTAAAGATGAATCACCTCATACATTGTTAAAAATATAGTTTTAATTTGCAAGGTTTTTTTTTTTTTTAGGGGGGGGGGGGGGCTGAAAAAGGGGGGTTTTTTTGCGCATCGCTGAACAAAAGAGTTCGCCGAATCAGTTCCTTTACGCTAAATTTGTTTTTTGTTTTTTTACTAAAGAATAAACAATAATAACAGTACATTATAATAAAGGGGGGGTAAAATAGAAGAGAGTTGGTGCCCCTCGTTAGTATTAAGAATGTTTAGGATATAAAGAGGAATTTGTTTGTTGGTTGGTAAAAATAGATGTTAAAATTTTAAGGTTTTTTTTTTTTTTAGGGGGGGGGGGGGCGCTGAAAAAGGGCGGTTTTTATGCGCATCGCTGAACAAAAGAGTTCGCCGAATCAGTTCCTTTACGCTAAATTTGTTATTTGTTTTCTTACTAAAGAATAAACAGTAATAACAGTACATAGTAATAACACCTGCATTTAATCTATTATTATACATTCTATATGTTTATAAATCATCTACCTATACCGCATTGTCTATAAGAAGAAAATAGAACTTTTGTTCTTTGGCCATCTTAGTTTGATCAAAAATAAAACACAAACAGTGGTGATAAACATTGTGAGTTTTCACATTTTTATAAACTTGACTTTTCGTACAATATATGCTATTCAACTTACATTTTCAAAAGGGATCTTACGTGACCGTTAAAGAAAATGACTAGACTATAAATTCAAAAATTACAATCGGTCTGGAAATGAGATTTAAGGCCTGTTTACACGACGTTCGGAGACCCCAGGTAGGTGACGTAACCTGCTTTGGTGGGGTAACCCGCCTGTCCATATAACGTCTCATTTTCATTTGATCACGTTTAGATGTTAGGCGGGGTGACCCGCGAAATGTTACCTCACCTATCTGGGGTCCTCCACCTCAATGTAAACAGGCCCTAAGAATTTAAAAATTTTTAACAGTAATGAATACAAAAGGCTACAGCTAATAAAGCATCAGCTTTTTACTGCTGATGTTGACATTAAAAGCTGGCTTAAGGTCTTGTATATTTTGTCAGATGCTAAGATTTCAAAGTGATCCATTTAATGTTATGTCGGGTGTCAGTGACATGGTCAGCAATAGCTGAAAAGTGATAATTTTTTATTAGGGACTTGAATTGTTTAGTCTTTCTATCATGGAGCCGTCGCTTAGTTTTACCAATGTAAAAATCAATACAATCCTAAAAACAAGCTTTGTAAATAACTTTGAGAGATCATTGAGAGCGATTACACCTATGTCCAGAAATGCATGCAATGGCGAAAATGGCGATTAATCGCCAGGTTCTGGCGACTTGAATTGGATACCAAAAGTGGCCCCTTGGAGACTAGCGAATTTGACCAAAATCGCCAGAGGGCTGGCAATAATGGTAAAAACCGTCCCGGCCCCTCGGAAACTGGTGATTTTGGCGAAAATGGTGATTGTAGCGAAAATGGCGATTTCGGCGAAAATCGCCACAGGGCTGGTGGTATCCAGAATGTGGCAAATGTTCAAATTGGATTCCAATAGTGGCCCCTTCAAATTAGATAACTAAAGACATCCCTATAACTCTGAGGCAACATTACTAAAAAAAAAAAAGGTCCAATTAGACACCTAATAAGAGGCATGAATAATTGTTAGGAAACCTTTATCAAATACAACTGAATCAAAAATATCAGAAAACGGCTTTACTTAACTGTGAGGCAACATTTATCAAATACAACTGAGTCAAATATATCTGAAAACAATGAATGGAAGTCGTTTCAGTTGAGCTTATGTATTTGTGTCATGTACTTCACAGATCATGTAAGTAAACATTCAGTTTTCTTATTATTACTTTTGATGTCGCTTGACTTACAAAAAAGTCAAAGTTAAAGTTATGCGCTGACACATCAAACTAGCATTATTGGCTTTTGTATGGTTTATCAAAGTCTTACAAAACGAAGAGGGTGCTCGTTCAAGCCAACCAAACCAAGTCTCATGCCCCAAAGCTAGTCCACTAATTACTCGAGAAGACAACTTCCAAGTCCTTGAAATGATTATAATTCCTTACTATGGACACTCTAACTTTTGAGGTTCCATGTACACCTAAACAATCCTCATTGGTGACAATTCTTTTCGTTCCATTGAATTGTGAGGCAGCCTTAAATCAAAACCGACTGCGAAACTTATGGTTCCAGGCTAAAAGATGCTTTTACAGTAACCAGTATGTGCTGTTCATCCCTTTTTGTTCTCCACTGTACAACATTATTTTTTCCGCCATTTTAAACTCTACTCTTTCTCCGGGTAATTACTTGTTTTCCTCTTTAGAGAAAACGGTCCCCTAAAAGTAACGAAAGCCGAAATATCCAGTAGCTTACCACGGATATCAAACTATGCTCAATCAATATCAACAGCATTAGGGAAAAAAAAAATAGAACTTCAGTCCTTTTTAGAAACCTCTGGTTTTGATGTAGTAGCCATACAGGAAACGAAAATGAGTTCTAGCGTTTTAAATGCAGAACTCTTTTCTTCCAGAACTTGGTTATTTCATGTTCAGGAAAGACTGTGTTATGGGTGGTGGAGGAGTATTACTTGCAGTCAAATCTGATCTCAACCCCACGCCTTGTTTGATCCTTGATATCACTCCCTCGGAGAGCATATGGGTGAAAATATCATGGAAAGGCCACGTGCACTATTTCGCGTGCTACTATCGCCCTCCAGACGAGCATTATGAAGAAATACAAAGCCTCCGCAAACAGCTCGAACAAATCCGTAGCTTCCACCCTCCACAAAGCCAACCAACTGTTCATGTTATGGGACTTTCAATTTTAGAAAGATCGATTGGGAAACGCATCTAACTAAAGAAGGTGAAGTGTTGGGACATTCAGAAGGCCTCATACTGCTCAATATCGCGCGAGACCACTATCTCGAACAGTTGATTACTTTTCCTACTCGTGAAAATAAAATTATAAAATAACTAAGATAGTACGCGCGCTCTGATTGGCCGAGAGGAGTGTTTGCATGAGAGTATGTAAACATTGTTGTGGCGTCAAGCTGTTTTGCTTTTCGCGCGCTAATCACACAAGCACGAATTAATTGAAAAATGTTTCGAGTTCAAAACTCGACAAGCTTTCTTTTCCATTCCTTCGTCGGCTGAAACTTGAAAAATCGTTACAAAGAAAGATTGTCAATTTTTCTTCACTTAAGCTGACATATTTTGGAAAGCATCTTTCTGCAAAACAAGAACCGATTACGCGTGCAAGACTTAGTGGACAAGACTTTGCGACTGGTACGAATTTCTCTTTTAATCAGTGCCATACGAAGAGTTTTGCGTTTTTTTCTCGGGAAAGTTATTTTAAAAAAAGAATAGAAAACTTTTTTCCTGTGTTTGCAAAGCCTGATATAAACACTCGAGGTGTTGGGAGAATTCGAGACAGTTGTGCAAACCCGAGACGAAGTCGAGGGTTTGCAGAACTGTCGAGAATTCTCCCAACCCCTTCGTGTTTATATCAGGCTATGCAAACACGGAAAACGTTTTCTATTGCTTAACTCTAGACCTTATATTCACCAACACACCAGGCCTGGTCAACGATTGTCACTCGCCAGACAAGTTCAGCTATCACTCTGTAGTGGCATGTACTCTTAACACCTCAATTCCCTTTAAGCGGAAGCCCAGGCGCAAAGTCTATTTGTTCAACAAAGGTGACTATGACTCCCTACTAAGCAAATTGCAAGAATTTCAATAATCCTTCTTTCAGTCAACTTCTGAACACGGGACGAAAAAACGGATTTACCGAACGTCAAAAGTGAAGTCAAACGGGCGATAAAGGCCACCTTTGCACACCTTTGTACAACTTTGACGAGCGACAAATGTTTACCTTTGCCCGCGGTCAAAGACGAGCCTTCAGGCGATAAAGGCCGTTTTTGTCACGCCTTTAACCCCTACCTTTGACGCGCGTCAAAGGTATATTTCATTAGCATTTGTACCCCTATCAAAGGCGTCCTCAAATATGTCTGAGATTAAGGCCAAAGGTGTGACAAAAGCGCGGCAAAGTTATGTCTGTGATTAAAGTCAAAGGCTTGTGAAAAGTGTCGTTAAATGTGTCTGAGCCTCAGGTCAAATGTGTGACAAAGTTGTCGTCAAATGCGTGTGAGATTTAAGTCAAAGGTTTAACAAA